CATGGAAATGTCCTGCTTTGAGATGTCTTTATTGTCAAGCCATAAAACAAAATGGCTTTCTACGCCAGAAATAAAAATGAAAATGAGCCGGTGGTGGCAAACCCCCAACCTGGAAAGAGGCAGGAAGCAGCTCACCTCTCTGATAGCCTAGAAATTCCTTCACTGTAGGGCTTCCTTCTAGGGTTTGCCACCCTTGTCCTGAGATGTTAACCCTTTCCCCCTGTGGATTACACTCCCATCACAGCTGTCTTAGTCTTAATTCTAGAGAAAGATGAACATTATATATAATTATTCTCACAGCCAATAAGTTAATAACTTAGTGCAAGTTGATAACTTAATTGGTTAATAACATAGTAAAGCACCTTGACTGGTTAGTAATTGTAACATCGTGTGCTGCAAAGAGCCACGGGAGACACATTAAAGAGCCACTTGCGGCTCATGAGCCTCAGTCTGAGTATCACTGGACTAGATGATCTAATGGCCCCTCTGACTTTAAACTCTGACACCTGCAGTACCCAAAAAGGCACAGCAGAACGTGCCACTTCACATCTATTGAGGAAAGCTCACTGGTTGAAGCTGTGGGTCTGATTTATGTAAGATACAGGCTTGAAAATCAAGCTCTTGTTAAGGTCGTTGAATATGCACCCTGCTTGCAGCCATGCTCCCTTGCTGTGATCTTATTACACTAAGCAAAACAAAGTTGAGCTTGGACAATAAATGAATGAAAGGCTGCCATAGAAAACCCCAGTGATGCAGACAGTGGTGTTGGTGACTTAGTAGGTGGTGTTCTTCCTCTTGAGTCATTACTACAAAGCCAACGCCCCAGCAAGGGGTTAGGAGGGATGTTCTGTTATTGGAGTGCTGTATTTCAGATGAGATGAGATTTATCACCTGATCACTTGTGGTCATTAAATAGCCCTTGTCACTTTTCATAAATGTGGAGGTGTTAACCTCAGTGTCCTGGCTGAATTCCAACTCACGGAATTAAGTATTCTACTGACCTAAAATATGTCCTGTGTAGTTTCAAATGGTGAAGTTACTTTTCATTTCCCCTCCTTTGACTCTGGTGTAGCATTGATAGCACAGACTGGCACTTGCATTCTAGCCTAGATGCGTCGGCAGTTCAGTGACACAGGGGGTGATCGCTAAAAGTAAAATTCATTTCTGTGCAGCAAGACAGCACTAGTTAATTCACATTCATGCCTGAAATAGGGGTTAACCAAACATAAGAATGGCCACACTGGGTCAGACCAATGGTTCATCTAGACCAGTATCCTGTCTTCTAACAGCAGCCAATGTCAGATGCTTCAAAGGGAATGAACAGAACAGGGCAATCATCAAGTGATCCATCCCCTGTCATCCTGTCCCAGCTTCTAGCAGTCAGAGGCCTTAGTGGGACTAAAGTGATGCATAGACCTTGAGCTTGCCCTCTGTACCTGGGTGATTTTCACCCAATACAGTACATACAGGACTAAATTCTACCTTCAGTTACACTGTAGCTAATGGAGTTGTGCTGTGTAACTGAAGGCAGAATTTGGCTCACAGTCCATAAAGTGCTCTGATATCCTTAGGAGAAACGATGCCTGAGAAATGTAAGTGATGACAAAAAATCAAACATCTCTCTGTCACACAAGTGCTGATGGAAGTCATACACATGTAGAGAGAGGAAGAATGAGCACCTAGTGGGAAAGCTTTCATAAAAAGCCCAGCACTGACCTGAACAGTATAAGGAAATTGGAGATACAAGAGAAGGGAGGAATAGGATCAGAGATGCAGGGCTGGTTTGAAGTTCAGGTGCTGAAAAATGCTAGGCTGGGGTTCAAAGACAGGATTATTGACCAGTGGTGCTTTAGTAGTTGGTGGGGAAGGTGTTTAAGGCGTATTACTGCAGTACTGATTTATCAACCTAGCTGACACTGTGTATGGTATTTGACAGGTTTCAGAGTAGCAGCCGTGTTAGTCTGTATTCACAAAAAGAAAAGGAGGACTTGTGGCACCTTAAATTTGTTAAAGGAAAAGGAGTACTTGTGGCACCTTAGAGACTAACCAATTTATTTGAGCATAAGCTTTCGTGAGCTACAGCTCACTTCATCGGATGCATACTGTGGAAAATTGGTTAGTCTCTAAGGTGCCACAAGTACTCCTTTTCTTTTTATGGTATTTGAGTCACTCCTAAATCCAGCCTCTGGCAAGGAAAAATACATTTAATCCATTTGTTAGATTGTTTGAAGAGGTGTCTGTGTCTCGGTCACTGCCCAAGGTTGGAATTGAAAATAAGTGAGAGATGAGCCTTTAACTGTTTCCCCAACACTGCTCCTTTTGAGGGGGAGGATGTCAAATATCACATGTAACTGCCTGGATGTTGAAAAATTAAATGAACGCACTCCCTCCCCACAGAAAGAATCACTGAGCTCTCTAATTCCACCAAAGGGCAAAAATCAAAGCAAGACTTCGTATTCAAAGAGGTTGTTGTTTTTAACTGGTTGTCTCAAACTGAGATTATTGCTCTGCACTTGGGAGTTTGAGGATGTATTCACCCAGCCCTCTGTGATCTTTATAGAGCAGCCCAGTGCCTCAAGGTAAAACACTGAGAAACATGCCATACTTTAAAGTAACTCTGCTTTGGTTGCTGGCATTTTCTTTAGTTCTCTCCCCATCATTCTAAATAATCATTATTAATAAGGGATGTTTACATGAAAACAAAATCTTTGTTTTTATAGTTCACACAATGGTAACCTGCTCCCCCATTTGAAATCCTAATCCTCCCCTTGTGACATAACAATCATCATCACCACATGAAGCTGTGTGACATTACAGGCTGAAGATAAGGAACTCCAGTGGCTAAAATAGCAAGGGATGCTGCAGGTCAAGGCTGAGTTGCATCAGCAGAGCTATACTGGGGACCCAAGAATAGCATGGGACAATTGTAGCTCAGCACTGAGGTGCTCAGCATTGAGGTGCAATGGCAGATCCGTGTGAGGACCTGGGACTGGGATACCAGAAGGTGTCAGAATTAAGGTGCATCAACAAATCAGGGGGAGGGCAGGAAGGAGAGAGAAGGAGGTGAACAGGATTGAAATGGTGGGAGAATTTGCAGGCCAAAATTGAGGCACACTGGCAGACCATTAAAATGGTGCAGTTCACTACTGAAGTGCATTGGCAACACTCTGAGGGGCAAGGGAAATACTGCAGGTCAGGACTGAACTACATTTGTATATCTGTGTGGGAGTTCCCAGGACTTAAATAAGACAGATGTCTGTAAGACAGGATCCCATTGAACTTGCAGAGTTGCGTGTGGACAGTCACTCCTCTATTCTGCCTGCCTCATGTTCGGTCACACGAATTCAATTTCACCTCAAATAAGCAGCAAAAAAGAAAATGCTGAAAGAAACCTTGGAGAAAAGCATGTGAAGATCCTTTTATATTTGGGAATGAGAGAAGATAATTCTCAGAATCAATCTCTAGTGGCCCATCAATTTTAAACATGACATTTTTCTTGCATAATTCTGGGTCTTGTTCGGAGCTAACACTTTTTGGTCTTGAATCTCAATTCTGCTATGAAAGGCAGCTCAATAAACCAAAGTTTCTCTAGAGAGGCTGTTGGTGAAGTTTCTTTCTGTGGTCCTCTGGATAAAAGCTTTTCAGGTAAGGCAAGTTGGAGAGTCTTCCCTGCTTGTACAGACTGGATGCCTTGGGGGAGTGAAGAGGGGCTATGGAGCCTTTAACTTCCAGGTCACTGATTGCAGTCCAATCTGGGTTAGAAGTGCTGAAAGTTATTCCCATATGAGAGCTGTTTAGTGGCCTTTGTGAATGTACTTCCAGGAGCATCTCCCACTGGTTCCTGGAACGACATGTACCTACATCACAAAAAACACCAATGCAATTGACACTAATTGAGCCACTTCCGACTCTGCCATTGGCAGCCTCAGCAGAAAAGTCAGAGATTCAGTGAGCCATGGGAACTGAGCACTCCTTTTGATCCTAAAAATGGTCCTTCCAGCACACATCTCAGTTATGTTAGCAAGAAGTGTTGATTGAGTGAAGCTTGCACCGCTACTTCCCATGCTACAAAAAGGAAGACTTTGGTTTGCAGGGCTGTTGGTGATGGTTTGGTACCTTTCACTGCCACTAAACACATGTAAGATGTGAATTCAGGCTCCAGAAATCTGGACTCTTTGGACACGTATGTCATACTCATGTGGCTTAAGCAGTAAGTACTACAATTTGGTTTTCTGCCACCTCCCATACAGGGAGTACAAGCTTTATGCACACAAGTTTTTCCCCTCACTGGAAATCAAGGCTATCCATGCCAAAAAGCCTTTGTAGAGGAAGGTCTTTCTTTCATTCTTCAACATGGTGCTCACAGTCTAAAAAATAATTTTTTTATTGTAAGATCCTCCTTTTGCCCATAGTGTGTATCTCTCATAAGGATAATAAGTAGGCCATTGTGGAGGATGAGTGCCTTCTGCTGGATGAGGGGGTCACTTACATCACAGGGAATAGCTAATAGAACAATGCTGTTATCACCTACACTGAGGTCATCCCTGTTATCAGCCTGCTTGGGCATGGGGTGCACATTTTCATCATAAGATTATTGGGTGGAGACAATGGCCTGTGGGAAACAGCTTCTGCATTGGTATGTTTTGAGCCCTCTTGATGAAAAGTGAACCACTAATTTGAGTCTCATTCCGATGCTCATCAGCCACGCCGGTTAATGGGATCGTTCCTAGCTGGTAACGTCGTTCAATCCAATAATGGTTTGTGGGCCTGAACAAAAGATCACAACACTGGATACAGGCCAACTGCCCCTAGCAAGGGACTATTACAGATTAACCCAACAGGCTGGTCTTAATGCCCCTGGTACCCTGAGTAAGAAGAGATCACAGCACCAATGTACAGTTCACAGTGTTCTGAGGAAGAGGAGATAACAAGCCCTTCTATGAGCTAGACTCCGAGGTCCCAGCTCCTCCCAGACATTGACATATTTGTATCTCTTCCAGCTTTGCCCTGTCACCAAGGCACAGTATGGAAGCCATTGCCAAATTTGATTTCAATGCTTCTGGAGAGGATGAACTCAGTTTCCGGGCCGGGGACGTTCTGAAGGTAAGTGCAGCCCGAGGCGCCACCAAAGGAGGACTGTTTAACCATGTGACTCCTGCCAGACCCCACTGCACCAGTGCCTCCCGCCATAACATAGGCCAGCCCAGATGTTCACAGATTGTGGTCCAGATGCCACTAGTGTTCCATGGAGGGCTTGCTGGAGGTTCATGGAGAACTGGCTAGCCTCACAGTGCTTGCCATCCTCCTTATTTCCAGCTGTTAGATTGCCATAAAAGATGGCTAAAGCAATTCTACTCAAAGTGGTGGTCCGCGGACCAGTGCCAGTCCGTGAGCCATTGGCTGCCAGTCTGCGTGCACATTGGGGAAAAAAATTGCCAGTCCCCCACATCAGATAGCTTGAGAAGCACTGGGCTAAAGTACACTCAGTGAATTTCCTGATATTACTTTTCCCTGTAAGGAATTACTGTAGTTGCCACAGGGATATTATATAATTGCTAATGGGAGGGGAAGTATCCACAAGACTTTTTCGTACAGAAATTATATGAAAAATGTTGAGAGCCCCTGAGCTAGTATAAGCCACAACACCCCCTTCAGAAATGAAGAAGCAGAGGAATGCTAGAGCGGGAGTGGGAAGAAATGTCAGACATACAGTATGTAAAACGCATTCTATTTCATCTTTCTTCTGGTAGAATTGTTCTTGTTATTAGCAATGAGGATGAATCCACACAACCCCACATCATATTTTTTACCCAGTCCTCAATCTACAACACCGTGCATCCTAGTCACTCTGCTACAGCTGAAGCTGCCTGAACATGACTCACATTGGCTCTCACTGACTATACCCCTTAATTGGCCAAAAGGAGCATTTTTGAGTAGTGTGGGCCAGGGCACCTCTGTCTTGGCCTGCAGCACCCCCTGCTATTCCAATTAATTATAATCTATGAATTCTCCCCTCTTAGCTTTCCTTAGGTCCACACCCCCATTTCTCACTTTACCCTCCCTCCCATCTGTTCTTGGGACTTAGGGCAAATGTGGCTCCATCCAAAACCCACCAAGGTCAAAGAGGGGGATCTTTCCAGAGTGACATGAGAGGTGCTATGGACAAATCCCCCTTCTCCCCTTTAGGATGGTTGAGCACTTGCCCTACACAGCTCTCCTGATGCTTCCTCAGCTCAAACTCCATCCCCATGCCCCTACCTCTGCACTGTGTTGATTGTATCTCTCTATTCGTTTATTTCCACTGGGCATTCACAACTAGAAAGCCAGAGATTGTCCTCTCATTATCTCTCTTTCTCTTTGTGGCGGTGCAACTCCCTAGCAGCCAAGAGTCAAAGATATGACAAATCGAAGTGTGTAACATCACACAAACGCATGCATGCAGGCACATACCCCCAGCTGTCCTCCCAACCCTGCCTGTGCAACCTGCTGGGGTTTATCTTAACTGATTGGCAAAGGAGATAAGGTAAACAGTATTGATGTGGAGATTAGATGAACAGGAAGTGTGAGGCCCTGAACCAGCAGCGACAGGAGGAAATCCACCTCCCCACCACCCCTGCTGTGAGAGACTGACACAGAGGGGCCTGCCCTCTGTGCACCAAGAGCTTGCAGGTGGATTGCGCCGGAAATCTAGCTGCTAGCAGAGCAGTCTCCAGGCAGGAGGGGAGAAGGGGTTGCTGATATGCAGTTATACCCTGTGTAGGTGTTGAGCCATAGAGGAGAAAAGAGTTTTATCCCATTTGGTTTGCTTGGAGCAGCACAAAGAGACCTTAAATCAGGCTCACTGTATGGGGGAATCAACTGGCAATAAGCCAGGGAATCCTCAGCTACCCATTCAGAAATCCTCAGCTGCCCATTCCCTCCGTGTGCACGGGTGTAAGGACTACACAAGGGAGTGGAGAATGAGTCCCAGAGGGCTCAGTATTGTCAACCCCGAATGTTTAAAAACATGGCTTAACCATTTTTTTAATTACATATTTTGGGAACTTTTTTTTTTTTTTGCTTTCTGTTTCCTGAGCCCCTGGGGGTCATACTTCAAGCTTTTTTCTACAACCATAAGGGCTAGAAACTTCTTTTAAAAAAAAATGAAAGCTGAGATTCTCATGTATTCACTTGCCTCCAGGAGCTGGAATTTTAAGAAAAACACCATATACCACAAAGCTTGCAATAAAATCATAGCCGCTGGCAACACAGGTAGCTATATGCCACCTGTTCCCTCACCTCCGTCTTCGGGCCATGTCGGGGCAAAATGGGGTGGAGGTAGAGAATAATGCAGTCCAGCAATCCTTGATCAGTGGAATGACCTTACTAGCGATATTAGGCATAACCCTGAGGCTGCTCCAATTTGCATTACACAGACTGGCCCCCTGCAACACCCAAAATCTAAAACGGCAGAAAACTGTCTTTGAACCACCTTTGCCTCCTCCCTTCAACTGCTCTGGTGTGAGCTCTGCACAGCTGAAGCTTCAGCCCCCCTAATTCTAACACATGCAATGATACCCAATAACACACACTCAATCACAATCACACATATTCCGATGTAGCAGAATTTTTCAGAGCTTTTTCATCTCTTGTCAAATTGGGACACTCCAGGGCAAACCATTAAAAACAACACAAAGAACTCCTTAAACCCCCACTAAGTCCTTCAGAGCAAACTCCTCCATCATGAAGGCATTAGAGCTGTGCAGTGTACATCTCCCAGCCTCCTGGACATTTATCCAGAAATACAGATAAAACTAACAAGCAGTCCCTCTAATTTCTCCATATCTTCCTCATTACTTTATTTGCACTGAACTGGCCTTCATCTACCAGTCCTGCTGCAGTGTGTGTATGTGGGAGGGAAGAAAACGGGGGTGCCATGGGATTCCAGGGCTCTCAGCGCCAGCAAACCCAATCTAGTCTACTTTTATCCTTCCAAATAATTCCAAACTCTTTCTTTCTTTTTCCAGTAACTTCTCCTTCTGGTTACTTTGCCTCTCCCAAGGAGGTTCGTTCATTCATTCATTCTGTCTCTCTGCTGCAGATTTTAAGCTCCCAGGAAGAGTGGTACAGGGCTGAGCTGAGAAGTCACGAAGGATTTGTCCCCAAGAACTTCATAGATATTCACATTCCCATGTAAGTACAACAGGGATCAGGTGCATTTCCCTTGAAAATTTCAGGGAGTTTTGTCGTGTGTGTACATCTACACTTACGATAGCATGTACAGACACTGCACACCCAGCTAGCACAGGGATAAAGAGCAGTGCAGAAGGTGAGGCATGACTTTGGTGAGGAGAGGAGAGTGCTCTACACGCGTGAACCTCCAGGGTGTATATCCTACGTGGGCTCTCTACATAGGGTTGCCATATTTCAAGTCCCCAGATAGCAGATACTGCCAGGATCCAGCGTGGGGTACAGCAGCCACTGCTCTCCAGCCACCCTGCTCTGAAGGCAGCATCATCACCAGCAGCAGCACAGAAGTAAGGGTGGCAATACCATGCCATGCCACCCTCATATCTGCACTGCTGCTGGCAGCGGCACTGCCTTCAGAGCTGGGCACCCATCCAGCAGCTGCTGCTCTCTGGCTGGCTAGCTCAAAATCATGGACATTTGTTCGGATTTCAAAAATCTGCCCGGGCAGAGATCGGAGGAGCAAAAAAGAGGGTCTTGTCTGGGAAAACCTGGATGTATGGTAACCCCATCTCTACACACCCAAGCAGTGCCTCCCATATCTACACTGCTGGTTTTTAGCAGTGTAGTGTCCTGTTGCCTCCCCCCTGCTGGAGCCTTTCCCATAGGACGTAAGAACAGTCATATTGGGTCAGACCAATGATCCATTTAGCCCACGGTCCTATCTTCCAACAGTGGCCAATGCCAGGTGCTTCAGAGGGAATGAACAGAACAGGCAATCATCGAGTGATTCATGCCCTGTTGTCCACTCCCAGCTTCTGGCAAACAGAGGCTAGGGACACTCAGAGAATGGTGTTGCATCCTTGCCCATCCTGGCTAAAGCCATTGATGGACCTATCCTCCATGAACTTATCCAGTTCTTTTTTGAACCCTGCTATAGTCTTGGCCTTCACAACATCCCATGACAAAGAGTTCCACAGACTGACTGTGCGTTCTGTGAAGAAGTACTTCCTTTTGGTTTTTTTAAACCTGGTGCCTATTAATTTCAATGGATAACCCCTAGTTTTTGTATTATGTGAAGGAGTAAACAACATTTCCTCATTCACTTTCTCCTCACCAGTCAAGATTTCATAGATCTCTGTCATATCCCCCCTTAGCAGTCTCTTTTCCAAGCTGAAAAGTCATGTCTTTTTAATCTCTCCTTACATGGAAACTGTTCTATACCCTTAATTATTTGTGTTGCCCTTCTCTGTACCTTTTCCAATTCCAATATATCTTTTTTGAGATGGAGCAACCAGAAATGCATGCAGTAGTCAAGGTGAGGGTGTACCATGGATTTATATAGAGGCAATATGATATTTTCTGTCTTGTTACCTATCCTTTTCCTAATGGTTCCTAACATTCTGGTTGCCTTTTTGTCTGCCGCTGCACATTGAGTGGATGTTTTCAGAGAACTAGCCACAATGACTCCAAGATCTTTTTTTTTTTTGAGTGGTAACAGCTAATTTACACCCATCATTTTGTATGGATAGTTGGAATTATGTTTTCCAACGTGCATTACTTTGCATTTATCAACATTGAATTTCATCTGCCGTTTTGTTGCCCAGTCACCCAGTCCCTGTTGCCTTCTCCCTTGCTGGAGCCTTTTACTGCAGCGTGCACCTACACGCTGCAGTGACAAGTGTGGTGCGGATTGCTTTTCATGTGGCATGCAGCTACGCATGTAGTGCCTGTATGCTCCATGCTGCCATAAGTATTGAGATAGCCTGTGTGTGTGTTTGGTCACCACTTCCTCTCTCACGCTTTCTTAGAGCATGGTACAGTTTAAGGCAGACAAGGGCTGTGGCAAAACTCCACACGCCAGCCTGTCAATGCACCTTAGTCCTGCCCTGCAGCACCCCCTGTTATTTTAGTCCTGACAGCCCCAAAACTCTTGTCACTCTCAAGTGATTCCCTTGTTATTGTTGCTAGGATGTGGTAGGAGCTACATCTTGCTGTCCTTGGACAGAAGGAGAGGAGTTAATGTTAGAGGGTCTTGACAGTGAAAAGGCCAAGTAGAAGAGGAAGACATGGGGGGGGCTTTCTCTCTCTAAACAGGGTATAGAAAGGTAAAAGCCCTCCCTCTAAGCCCTATCATTAATACCCAGCCCCCCATCACCCTCCGTACATGTGAGTTTCATTCTATCCACTAGAGGCCAGTCTGATGCTACATGAGAAGCAATGTCTATTGTAAAAAGAAAAGGAGTACTTGTGGCACCTTAGAGACTAACCAATTTATTTGAGCATGAGCTTTCGTGAGCTACAGCTCACTTCATCGGATGCATACCGTGGAAACTGCAGCAGACTTTATATACACACAGAGAATATGAAACAATACCTCCTCCCACCCCACTGTCCTGCTGGTAATAGCTTATCTAAAGTGATCATCAGGTTGGGCCATTTCCAGCACAAATCCAGGTTTTCTCACCCTCCACCCCCCCCACACAAATTCACTCTCCTGCTGGTGATAGCCCATCCAAAGTGACAACTCTTTACACAATGTGCATGATAATCAAGTTGGGCCATTTCCTGCACAAATCCAGGTTCTCTCACCCCCTCAGAGATCTATTCCTACCTGCATGCCTCCAGCTTTCACCCTGACCACACCACACGATCCTTCGTCTACAGCCAAGCTCTGCGATACAACCGCATTTGCCCCAACCCCTCAGACAGAGACAAACACCTACAAGATCTCTGTCAAGCTTTCTTACAACTACAATACCCACCTGCGGAAGTAAAGAAACAGATTGATAGAGCCAGAAGAGTTCCCAGAAGTTACCTACTACAGGACAGGCCTAACAAAGAAAATAACAGAACGCCACTAGCCGTCACCTTCAGCCCCCAACTAAAACCCCTCCAACGCATTATTAAGGATCTACAACCTATCCTAAAGGATGACCCAACACTCTCACAAATCTTGGGAGACAGGCCAGTCCTTGCCTACAGACAGCCCCGCAACCTGAAGCAAATACTCACCAACAACCACATACCACACAACAGAACCACTAACCCAGGAACTTATCCTTGCAACAAAGCCCGTTGCCAATTGTGCCCACATATCTATTCAGGGGACACCATCACAGGGCCTAATAACATCAGCCACACTATCAGAGGCTCGTTCACCTGCACATCCACCAATGTGATATATGCCATCATGTGCCAGCAATGCCCCTCTGCCATGTACATTGGTCAAACTGGACAGTCTCTACGTAAAAGAATAAATGGACACAAATCAGATGTCAAGAATTATAACATTCATAAACCAGTCGGAGAACACTTCAATCTCTCTGGTCACGCAATCACAGACATGAAGGTCGCTATCTTAAAACAAAAAAACTTCAAATCCAGACTCCAGTGAGAAACTGCTGAATTGGAATTCATTTGCAAATTGGATACTATTAATTTAGGCTTAAATAGAGACTGGGAGTGGCTAAGTCATTATGCAAGGTAGCCTATTTCCCCTTGTTTTTTCCTACCCCCCCCCCCCCAAGATGTTCTGGTTTAACTTGGATTTAAACTTGGAGAGTGGTCAGTTTGGATGAGCTATTACCAGCAGGAGAGTGAGTTTGTGTGTGTGGTTTTTGGGAGGGGGGTGAGGGGGTGAGAGAACCTGGATTTGTGCAGGAAATGGCCCAACTTGATTATCATGCACATTGTGTAAAGAGTTGTCACTTTGGATGGGCTATCACCAGCAGGAGAGTGAATTTGTGTGGGGGGGCGGAGGGTGAGAAAACCTGGATTTGTGCTGGAAATGGCCCAACCTGATGATCACTTTAGATAAGCTATTACCAGCAGGACAGTGGGGTGGGAGGAGGTATTGTTTCATATTCTCTGTGTGTATATAAAGTCTGCTGCAGTTTCCACGGTATGCATCCGATGAAGTGAGCTGTAGCTCACGAAAGCTCATGCTCAAATAAATTGGTTAGTCTCTAAGGTGCCACAAGTACTCCTTTTCTTTTTGCGAATACAGACTAACACGGCTGTTACTCTGAAATGTCTATTGTCTAACCTTGACTGTCAGTGATGATAGACCAGGCACATGTCATCCCCGCCTTGTCAACTCTTCCTGCTCCTTTGAAGTCCCCTGCTTGCACAGCAGACCCCAGGCTCTAGAGCACTAAGAGAGAGGTCTTTCCCACATTGCTCTCCACTGTAATGCTGCAGCAAGTTCAAGAGGAGCAGGATGGAGAGAACTGCAGTTTGAGGAAGGATTTCCGTGAATCTAATGCATAGCAAAATGCACTAGCCTGACATGCTAAATATTACTGTGCAATGGATTTACAATCCTTCTCTTTAGATTCACAGAAATCCTCCCTGAAGCTACAGGCCCCTCCTTCTTCCAAAGTGCTGCAGCAGCAGTGCAGGAGAGCAGGAGAGAGGATGGTGGGGGCTTTTCCCCACACTGCCAAGGATATTGCCAACTAAGATTTTTTATTATTATTATTATTATATTATTACCCTGGGGCAGATGTTAGAAGAGCTGCTCCTGTAGGCAGGGCCGGCTCCAGGCACCAGCTTTGCAAGCTGGTGCTTGGGGCGGCATTCAGAATGGGGCGGCAGTCCGTGTCCCGCAGTGGCAATTCGGCAGCAGCTCCACCGCTCTTCCCGCCGCGGCGGCTTTTGGACGGCAGCTCCGCTGCTCTTCCAGGCACGGTGGCAGTTCGGCGGCAGCGATTCAGCGGCGACTGCTTGGGGCGGCAAAATTGGTTGAGCCGCCCCTGCCTGTACGTACTGGAGGGATTGTTCTCCCTGGGAATGCCTGTCCGCCACTGCCCCCTGTTGGATGGAATTTAGAAGACCTGCAGTATTGCCAGTCTCAAGCGAAAAATCACAAGTCAGATCCCCCTGCCCATCCCCAAGGTGTGTGTGACAATTAATGTTGCCCATGCTCCCAAATGGATTAGATAAGGTGATTTTGGCCCCTGCTGTAGGCGCTCTCACTTCCATATCTGCCCATCCACTGCCCAGCAATTCTGCCCCCACCAGTTTATCTTCCACGCCCATCAATTCAGATCCCCTCTGTTCAGCCCCTCCAGACCCACACCCTGTCAGTTCAGCCCCCCAGCCTCACTTCTTCTCCTCCTGGTGTTCTTCACCCCCTTCTCCCAGGTCTGGGGTCTGCTGCGGGGTTGTTGCGCCCCTCTGCCCTTTCCCATTGTTACCAGGCTGGCTATAGCAGGGGAGATGGGGGAGGAGCAGAAGCGCTATCCTGTGCCAGTTGCTTATAGGAGGGCTGAGAAGAGGAAGGATCGGCACCATCTGGAACTGCTGGGGGCTTCTGCTCCCTCTTCTCCCCTCCTCTCCTGTGAGAATGGCTTCATATTGCTATGGGGGATGAGGTGGCTCTTCCTGTGGTAGCTTTGATTGCTTGCTCAGTACCTGGAGGCAGGCAAGTGGGGCAAGCAGCCAGTTGGAGGGCTTAAATTCACGCAAGGTCATTGCTAGACTAGCTCCTCCAGCCCCAGACAAAATTATGTCACTGGTGGAAAAAATCCCCAAAGTTGGTGATACTGCATATGTGTCATTCTGTGTGAATTCCACCTCCTGGCTGAGCTGGGGGACTTGCTCTGTTAGCTCAACAAGCGAACCCAGGCCTGTATTTTTGGCGCCAATGTTCTCTCCTTCCTACGGGGTTTACTGAGGTGCCTGTGCCACAGAGTGTTACACTAGCAGCTTTTCCCTGGCACACTTGGAGCAGTGGAATCAGCCTGTTCATTATGCCTCTCACAGAGGAATTACGTCTTCACTAACCTTTCCCTCTCACCCACACAGAGTATACAATGGCTGGGCTGAAACATTTCCACTTTGGTCCTTTTCTGAGCAGCAGCAGCTCCACATTTTGAAAGCTGTTCAGGCTGGACACTGGAAAGGGGATGGGGGAAGGAAAGTGGTCTTCATAAAGGGCCATTTCCTCCATCTCTGTTTCTATACCCCATACTTTGAGAACATGGACTGTTAGCAGGAGACAATCCTACCGAACCCTCTAGTGCCTTTCCCACCTCTGCTGATTCCCAACCCTCCTCTCACCTCTTCCCTTCTTTTTCCCTAACCCATTTCCTTATTCACTTGTATGTGATTTATTCCCCATGACAGCTGGTTTAATGAAGGGATATCCCGCCATGAGGCAGAGAACTTACTCATGAGCAAGGAAGTTGGCTCTTTCATCATCCGAGCCAGCCAGAACTCCCCTGGTGACTTCTCCATCTCCGTCAGGTACCTGCTACTTACAGTATCTTCCTGCTGTTTCTGGTTAATGCTGCTGTCCCTAACCTCCCCTTGACAGGATGGCAGTGTCTTGGGAAGCTTGCGTGGTGCCAATCAATGGGAACAAGTGAGGCATCTGCTTCTCAAATGTTTCTTTTTCCATTAAAGTGACACAGCAAATACCCCATCCCAAAATCACAACCTCAGCTGTCCTGCTCCTTTGGAAGCAGAACAGAGCACATTCTGTGGGCCATCTCCCACCATGCGAAACGTGTGCCTTTCAGGTATGTTTTTTTGCATGATGGCTTTAGTTACTGGCCAAGAATGCTGTTTAAAATCCATTAGGGAGGTGACTTACACCATTAATTTATTTCACATAGGCCACTGAGCAGCCACCAGACGGGAATGACTTTCAAATCACATGTGACCAAATTGCACAGGAACCAGCAGCTTAACAATTATGATAATAAACATCCTTAGCATTTATGTAGCACGTTGAATTCTGAAATGCTGTATGAACATTGACTAATAAATCAAAAAGACTCCATTTCCCAGCCCCCTGGGCCTCTTACTCCCTATGCTTGTTTCCCTTTTCAGCCACATATTCTTGTCCAGCCATTCTCAGCCTTTGTTTCAAACCCAACACTGCCCCCTCCTGCGTGAACCCAGCATGGCCCTGCATGGCACTGGGACTGCAGACGGTTCTTCAGCGGGAATCCATTGTTCCACTGGGCGCTGGTGGACGTTATGCAACAAGTATGAAGGAGTAAATCTCAGTCCTTCGCCCCATCTTGTCTAGGGATTAACCTGAGGAAAAATACCTCAGGTAAGGTTATAATCTGGTGGTGCTCTTTGCTTAGAGTCAATGCAGGTCCACTTGTTAATGGGCACCGGGCTGCTGCCTTACCCTCTTTTAAATAAGATGCAGAATGAAGCTTCTAACCATTTGTGGTCATAAAAGATCCCATGACCCTTATTTTGAAAGTAAAGGTCTGAGCCCCAGTGCCCTGTATTGAGTCTACCATTTGGCCATGCATCCTCAAGGCAGCTGCATTTTTCTGGTTGGTGAGTGATTCCTTTACATACAGGGTTACTTTGAGATCCAGTGTATCCAGGTGCAATGCCATTGACTTCACTTTCCACAAGTCCGAATTTGATCCAGAGTCTGCAAAGGGCTTTTGGATTAAAGGTATTAGAGGAAAGTAAAATTGTTATCATCTGATGTTCATTTCTCCCCTTGATCACAGGCATGAGGATGATGTCCAGCACTTCAGGGTGATGAGGGATACAAAGGGCAACTACTACTTGTGGACAGAGAAATTCCAGTCACTAAACAAATTGGTGGAGTACTATAAGACCTCCTCTATCTCCAGGCAGAAGCTGATCTTCCTGAGAGATGGGAGCCAAGAAGAGAAGGTATACCCAGGGTTCTCAAACCATCCCTGAAAACCCCAAGAGGAGAAAGCCACCCCATGGGATGAATTTAGTGCTAGAATGTTGCCTCTGGAAACCTTCAGTGGAATCCCAGTCAGGTCTCTAGACTGAAGGGCCTCCCAGCCTTGATTTTTGATTGATTGCATCATAAGCACATTACGTAACTTAGTGTGATTCACTGTCTCCATTTACGACAAGCTGAAGACTGCAGCAGGGAATGCTGCAAATCAGGACTGAGAGGCTTTGCCAGAGCAGCGTAGGGGCCCAAGGACTGGAACTGCAGGACATGCTGCAGGTCAGGATTGAGGTGCATCGGCATGGATAAGGGGAGCCAGGTCTAACTTTAGGAAGGGGTGGTACAGAATAGCTGCAGGAACACTGATGGGTTTAGGGGCTCTGGGATAGAACAGGAAGGGGATCACAGGGCAGACTGAGTTTATTGGCAGAATTGAGAGAAAACACTGAATTTGGTTTCTTTCCCTCCTTGAATGGACTCTGGGTGCTGCCACTGTTATAGCTGAAAGTTTGGCTGCATTGAGGAATTGCTTATCTCTTATTAGTTACAGAACATAGCAGGCTATTGTGGAGGAACTGGGGACAGGATGTAGAAGGGGTGGGAAAAAAGGGTCATAAAGTTGTCCCAGAACTCCAGAGATGTGAGCACAGTTTCTGAGTTCAAGGAAGAAGCAGCAAAAGATGTTTGTAGAAGCAGGGAAATCCCTGTCCATCAACTGCCCATTTGGTTCTATGCCAGGAAAATGGGGGAATGATGCAGCACAGGCTGCCAGCCATTGCACACACAATGCTGAGAGAGAGAGAGAGAAAACACATGGTAACTACAGTAACTGAAGCACTGCTTAACCAGGAAACGGACTCTGGTATTAAATTACCAGGATGTGTGGTTAGAGACAAGCCAGAAAATACATGACGTGTTCATTGTGGCAATAAAGTTTTATCAGCTGCATGTGGGACATTCTTTTCAGCTCCAAAAGGGCGACAGGGTTCATTTTTCAATCTGATAAAGGGTTCTGTGTTGTTGACTCCTTTTAGACGACTTATCCGGCTTTTTTAAAAAGCTTTACCTAGCTGTAAGGGAGGCCACATATAGGAGAGAGAGCTGACAGCAGAGGATAGTCTGCACAAGGCAGGAGATATTGTATTTGTACAACAACCTTTTGAAGGTGGCTCAGAGCCGGGAGAGGGAGGAAGCAGGACAATATTTGTGCCAAGATGTAGACAGGTAAACGAAAGAATAGGAGAGGGGAGGTTGCAGCCAATGCTCCACTCCTTTGCTGTGGTGATGAGGGTTTGGACAGCGCCTATCACCATGGGGTCTTGGGCCACAACTAGGGCTCATAGGCACTACAGCAATGATGATAATAATTAATAAGTAGAGCCAGGTGTAGAGACAAATTAAGTCTGAGGCCAGAGTTTTCAAAAGAGCTCAGCCCTTCAGGTGCATGTTGGATGCTGAGCTCTACCGAAAATCTGGCTTCATTGTGGGTGCTGAGCCCTCGAAAGTCTGGGTCTGGGCAGTTAACCAAACACAAGGCCTCACAACCACACTTATTTACAGTGGGTAAATAGGCCCCAGACATGCTCTTCTCTTTCTGTGGGGCCACAGCTACATATGATTGTTTACTGGAGGGAACATTGGGGCCCAACTCACCTTGTATATGTAGTGAGGGGACAAATGCAGGCTCCAAACCCATTCATGGATTTGGGCTCAGAGCCCCAAATCCCCACTTGCACTTCTGAGGGGGAGTGGCTGTGGTGAAGAGACAAAGTCCAGGGTCCCAGATTTGTCAATTTGTACAGAGGAACAGGAGTCCTCCTTTGCATAGGCTCTATGGTTAGGGAGAGCAGTGGGAAGACAGAGATCTGGGGAGGGAAAGGGACGGGTTACTGATTGCCAGGATACCAGGAAGGGCATTGTGGGAAGCAGACCTGGCCCAACGTTTATCACTCTCCTCCCCCAGGAGAGGCGTGGTGGGAGCCTGGAAAGGGGGGCGCAGGAAGGACTCCGCCTGAGTGGAGCAGCTGGAGAAATCCGAGCATTAATGTCCAAGAGATATGCAGATCCCTCACCACCCCTGCAGCAGCAGCAACAGGTATCACTGGGAAAGAGGGGTTAGCTGGGATGAGCCTGGGCTGCAGAACATGCTGGTCTCTGCTCACTAGGAGCTGGGCTGTTTACCTAATTGTTTAAGTGCATTGCCATGACTGCTTCATGACTGTTTCTTCACACTGCGATGTAGCATCAATGTACGGTGTCAGCATGGTGACATCTGGTGGACAGAAATAAATATGTGAACTTCTATTTTGTCCTCTGAATATCAGGGTTTATGGGATGGACCTGCAAAAATCCTAACTCAACAGGCAAGTGACACTCTAACTGGAGAGCTGGGAACAGCAAACCCAGTCGTGCAAGAATGGCCAAGTATGGCAAAATGTTCAGCTTGGGACAAAACTGAAAGTCATATTGGGAGCACAGACCAACACTTGCCCACACACCTATCTAGGAATGCCTCTGAAGTCTGTAGGACAAGCCCAGCTGTGCAGCCCATTTCTTTTGCTGTGTTGTGGTGTTAAGATTCGGCACTATGGTGCACGTTGGGAATGGGAAATCAGTTGATTACCATTGGGAGAGTTTGGTTTCTTTGAGCATGTTCCAGACGTGAGTTCTGGGTTCTCTCTTTCTCTGCTGGGAACTCCTGGTGTGTGATCCTTCAGTCCTGGGGCTTGGCAAAGATGGTGATGGTGCATGCAAAAAATGCTCATATCGTGAGGATGGGAGGAAAGAACAGTGCATGGTGCTGCCTCTACAATTGTTCCATATTGATTTGGGTGGGAAATGGCTATTATGGGGAGAAGGGACTGGCTCCTGTCTGTAGCAGGAGATGTTGCAACAGTATTGGCCTCATCTGAGGAGAAGACTGGTCCAGCTAAGGGAAGAGCTCCAAAACCAAGCCTTGTAGGGCAAGAGAGTCCTAATAGAGGAGGGCCAAGGACACTCTGGAAATGGCCAGTTCTATATCCCATCATTCAGGAGCAACGTTATATAGGAAGGTGACTGTTGGTAGACTAATACAGCTTGTCACAAGATTGGAGCCTGGGCCCTTTGTGACAAATCTGTCATTGAGTCATATTTGATACAGAGCAGAAATACTTGTAAAAGAAAAGTATATCCCCCCCAAAAAAAAAAAAAAAAAAAAGAGAGAGAGAGAATCCTGTGTCTCTAAAGCCAGATTGAGTTTGACTCACTCTGACACTTCCAGTCAGGGACAATTGACATGCAAAGTGGGATACAGTTACACTGACCTTTTAGGCTGACTAAGGTGCAGGCATGACCAAAGGGCCATTTGAAATGCTAGGTACTGAGAAAGGAAATTGGGAAGCTATACCCAACTACCCAGCTTGAGATTCTTGATCCAAAGGGCACAGACTAAGGAGTCCTTTCCTGTTAGGTGTGTTGCTTGCAGCCCAATGAACACCTGGGAAACAAAGACCGAATAAATAGAGACAAGAAATTACTTGGAGGCATTCAGTGACATATGCACTGCCTGGATCCTGAAACCCTGGTACCCTCCCCCCATTCCAGTTGCACATCTGAGTATAATAATGGCTCTTCTCTTGCACCTCACTTTCTAGGACAGAGGTGGTGGGAGCCTGGACAGGAAAGATGGGCTTCATCGCCTCAGAGACCATGGAGAAGGGAGTGCAGCATCCATGTACCGGAGACAAACAGAATCATCATTTCAACAATCACAGGTAGGTGGTTTGCACTATATGCCCCTGTCCTCTACCTGATCCCTTCTCTCAAGGAAACAACCATAGACACTAGGAGGTTAACTGTTCTCTGGGAGAGGTAAGGAGGAGGAACCATGTATTATACCTGATGTGATGTTGCACATCCCTGTCACTTTAGGAGGTGTTTCCGTGGCATGTGCTCCATTCCTTTATGCCCCAGCCACTTGAGTTCTACTTTGGGGAGTGAATATATTGAGAGGGATACTCGGGGTTCCTGATAACTTGAACCAACCCTCAGGTATCTCTCGGGGTCCTGATGGCTCTTCCATTGAATTCCATACTGGTATCATGGTTTCATATCCCAGTGTTGCATTTCTTGCTCTTTTTGGTTTGTGTTGTGGGGGAGAGTCATAAGAATTGTGTCTGACTACTCCTGTCTCCTCCTCCTCAGCAAACACTATGGGTCCAAGCCCTGTATGACTTTGAGGCATTGGAGTGTGATGAGCTAGGATTCCGCAGTGGAGACCTCGTAGAAGTCCTGGACAACTCTAACCCCTGTTGGTGGAAAGGGCGCCTGCGTGGCAAATTGGGTCTCTTCCCTTCCAACTATGTTACACCAGTGACCCGGTGATTCTGAAGCATTCCAAGATGGGTTGGGATGGAGCTGCTCTGGCGTGTCGGGGGCAGAGAGAGCATCTTCCATGCAGCCGCAACATACAGTGTTTTTATTACAATAATAATTTATTGGCAGTTGATCCACTGATTAGTTAATATTAAAGGGACCACTGGAGTTTTTCTCTCCTTTTACACGCCAGTGTTAGAGGGAGCAAGAATCCTGGATTGTCCATGAGGTCTTGTTGGATCCTGCCGGTACTGCCATCATTTTGGCAAAATGTTGCTAACTCAGACTTCGCTAAATTAGATACGTCACATGGGAACCCACCTCAAGCAAAGCAAGTTTCAGCTTGTAGGCAGCTGCACCTCCTCCAACATCTGAGCACCACCTTTTGGACCTTGCAACATGCCATCTAGTAGAGGAAAGGATGTGGTCCTGTAAACTGTTGTATAGAGCAATCCATAGAGCAATCCAATGTGGAACCAATATGTGGAGAGGGAGAGAAACCAAGTTCTTTGCAGCTTCTGATAGACCTGCCCTCATGCACTCCTACCCATACCACATGTACTCGTGTCCACTGTCCAAGCTGCCTTCCAAGATATCCTGCAATTTCCATTAAACATTCCTGTAAGGGGGCCTGGCTTTTCAGCCAAACCAATAGTCACCAGCTGGAAATATGGTGGATGTCACCAACAGTTTTGTTAAATTGGAATTTTTTTTTGTGGTATGTTGCTGCCTAAAAGTCCTCCTCCTATATTTTTGGGAATCTGGAATCCCTGTTTTTATAACCTTGAGTTGCTGGTAACATGTATCATCCACCTCTGTGTCTATGTCAACACACACACACTAATATACATACACACACTCTCCTGCAAAGGTATTTGATCATTGCGGGGCGGGCAGAAAACAACCATAGATGATTGTGTAGCACTGTGCTGCCTTTAGAAATTGTCCCAATTTTACATCCTTGATTTCTCACCCACCCCTCTCATGGCCTCCAGCTTCCCCATGCCAAGCTTCTTTTTCACCTCTCCTGAGTATCCATCTCTGGTCTCTTGTTATGAATATTACTATAGTGCCAGAAGCAATCTCTAGCTAGCACTATTTTGATGCCAGATTCCAGGCAGGGCTACTACTCTACTTGTAGGAATACAGTAAATAAAGTTGCAACCAAGAACAGTCTCCTCTCTATACCTGTTTCCTTTGAACTAAATAAGGTAAATGCCCAACACATTGGAAACAAGTTTGAGATTTTAAAAAAGGAGAGAGGTGTACAAATCACCAATTGTGATATAAATTAATTGTAAATACACATTTAAAATGATCAAAATCTTGAGTGAGAGCACTGGGTAATTGCTACTCATGCAAGTTGAAATTTAGCAAGCTGCCTGAATAAAATAGTTCCCTACAATGTTTAAGACCTCAGGATTCAGCAAGGAAGTGCTGATTTCAGTTTATTTGGCAAGAAAGAAAACACAAATGAGACTCATCAGTAAAAATGGACTTGATAAAGGATAAAACCAATGGGGAAAAAAGAAAAGGGGAGCCAGGCTGAATGCCATCCAATGACAGGGCATAAATACCATTTTCACAAGATGTGTGACATTTGGTGTTCTTGAGCAGTAAAAGGAGCTTTTCTGGAATTCTTGAGGGAACTGGAACAAGACCGGACTGGCAACAAATGAAGTACAGTTTAAAAAATCTAAATAGAAAGAAGAACCTTGCTTACAGAGGCAGGAATAAGTATTGAGAGCTTAACAGGAATTTGGCCAGGGGCATCATTTAGGTTGGGTGGGGAGATGGAGGAGGGAGAGTTGAAATGTGTGAGCAGTTACTTTGTGAACAACTCAGACACCAGATCCAGAGACCGGCTGTGCTCTCTGAAACCTTCGGTGTTTGGAGCCCCGTGGGCAGCCTGCAGCCTTCACTCCCCAACCTACGCAGCCCAGCCGCAGGGACCCACCTGTCTGACTGCAGCTCTGCTCCAACCTCATCCACTGTCACACTCCATTGTCACTGACGGGCCCCAGAACTTGGGGCCAGAAGCTGTGACTGGCAAATTTGTGGCCAGAAGTATTAGTTGCTAGGGGATCAATAAAGCAGACATGAGACAGAAGATCCATGTCAGATCGTGTGACAAGGGGAAAGTGCTCAGTTTAATGGATGTAGGCAGGACTCCTCTGTTGTGGGCGTGGTGAGAGGGCTGGCTCAGAGTACAGTGGCTGAGAGGAGCCCAGTCACCTCCAGAAACAAAGCCAACATTTCCGCCACACCTTGCAGATTATAGGGCACGACTGGTCCCAGCCCCCTTGTGTTGCACTGCAGTGCTCCAGCCCAGTAGTGGATTGGGGGCTGATGTCTTCTGCTTCTGTGTCAGCTTTTCCAGGAAAAGGATAATGAGGTCTCTCCCCTCTGTGAAGGGAACAGTCTAATTATGGATTTTTACATTTTATCAAGAGCTTCAAGGGAACTAAGCAGTCCCTTGACCCCTCACTTAAAGTTGCCCCCTCCCCTACTGAAATGATGCCCCTGAATTTGGTTACCCAGATTTAGAACCATGAGTTTTAGGAAACAGCGGGACAAGGTGGGTCAGGTAATATCTTTTATTGGACCAACTTTTGTTGATTAGAGAGACAAGCTTTAGTCCAGTAAAAGATACTACGTCACCCACCTTGTGTCTCTAATATCCTGGGACTGATACGGCTACAACAACACTGCAGGAAACAGAAGGACATGCTAAATCCTGTTGAGTGAAATTCAGCTGTGGTACAAATGGTTGCATTTCCGTTTTCCTCAATGACCTTGTGCTATATCTGGGCTGGCTTTGGCCCTGGTGGTTCTATATGGGCTAGATTCTGACAGAGTACTATGCAGAGTACTCCTTTCTCTTTGAGCAGTCCCCTTGAAAATCAATGGGACTGCTCATGGAGCAAGGTATCCTGTTCAATGGAAGGGTGTCAGACGCTAACCCTAAGTGACTCCACAGCTTCCCAAGGTTCTTTTTAAGACAAGGAGGAGATTTGGAAGAGGGAAGGTTTAAGATCAAGAAAGAGAGAAGAACAAGGCAGAGGAAGATGAAAGAAAAAAAATGAAAGACCAACAAAAGTAGAGAAGCAATTTCAGATTTGGAACTGCCTGAAGAGGATGAAATGGTTCTTTCAGATTTATCCCCACCGTGTTGTATTATTTTTCAATTAATTGTTGTGTTTACATTTCTTTTTAAAATTTAAACTGAAGATTTTTTTCCCCATTGCTCAGCCTCCTAAAGACTGTGTAGGTAATGAAGACGTGGTTGCAAACAAATTAGTTTGAGGCTCATGTGCTTAGCACTCAAATAGCGCTTTACATAGTTAAAGCCCCTTTACAAAGATTAACTAATTAATTAATACTGGGCGGTACACTGGAAGCACTCCAGTGCCAAATGATGATTTCTTGAGTAAGAGGTAGCTCTCCACGTGTTTTTTAAAATTGATGTTTGAAGAAATAATATGCAAGGCAGTGAAATCAAAGGGATTATGCACATGCATGTCTTAGAATCTCATATTCCTGGTGTTTGTCAATATTTTATAAACCAATAATCCAGGAATACAGTCTGGATGATATCCTACTGTGAAACTGAAAGAGGGGGAAAAATCCAGTTAAGTATTTGGTTTAGTATTTTTCACAGGCAAAAATGACAGCATAGGAGAAAACAGATTATAAACAAGAACAGAAGCAGTGAGAGTGCGTGGAAAAGCAAGACCACTTTTTAAGCAAATGATATTGAAGAAACTGGACTGCATTTGGAGGGATAACAGAAGTGCAAGTTATTAAGCATAGCTCAGCTGGGTTCACTTTGATTGCTGAGCTAGTTTTTTGTCCTCAGTATGGTGAAAATCCATATTTTATTTACAATGTCTCAGTGGTTAATAAGAAGGAGTAAACACAATACATGAAAAGCTTTAACACAAAAACCAGAATACAGTGTTCTGTGTTACAGAGACTGTGTGCGTGCGTGTGTGTCTGTACACACACATAGCAGATGCACTCACAATATCATGCATTAGAAACAACAGACTATAGAGGGTTACATTCTGGCAGCTGCTAGAGAAAGGGCAGACAGGGAGACTGTGTTTGCCATTGCCCCTAGGGACACCTGTGCAGAATGCCAGGACCAACTCTTCCTAAGAGTAGCCTCTGACAGGTGTACCATGGGCTTAAGTGACCAGATCTCCCGTTTTTCCCCCCAATATCCAGTGGTGGTGTAGCCGTGTTGGTCCCAAGGTATTAGAGAGACAAGGTGGGGTGAGGTAATATCTTTTATTGGACCAACTTCTGTTGGTGAGAGAGACAAGCTTTTGAGCTTGCACAGAGCTCTTCTTCAGGTCTGGGAAATGTACTCGGAGGGTATGGGGCTGTTTAATTGCAGCATAGAAGTTCAGGCTCAGACAGGGTCTGAGACGCTACTCCCGCGTGGATTGTGAAGGGGGTTAATTTGCATGAAGCATGAAAGAAGTCACTTGCAGAAGGAGAACTGGCAGGAGGAAAAGGTTGTGGACTTGGTTATCAGCTGTGGGCCTGAAGAGCAACAGACAAATGGGTAAAAAATGTGCCCTGACCTCTGTGCAGAAGAGCGATTCAAAGCTTTCATTGTGCAAACAAAAGCCACTCAGCTGACGTAGCGTGTGCTCGTATGAAAATGGAAAATTTCACAAATGGCAGAAGGCTAAGGACATTGGCTGGAAATGCAAACGGAAGAACAGCCCAAGTAATAAAGGGGATGTCCCAGAAAAGGAGAAACCAAAAAAAAAAGTATGCAAAAAACAAATTAAGTAACTTAAAAGCAAAAATAAAAGATATCAAAATATCTAACAATTAGAGACTACAGTCAAACTCATCACTGGCATAAGCAGGTGCAACTCCACCACAGTCTATGAAGACGTGGCCACTGTGAATTTGACCCTGCAAATGAAAGTGAGGACAGCTCTGTGAAGAAAGTAGTTCAGAACAGATGAGTTAGCTGTACATTTGAAACATGTCAAATAGTAAGAACATCCTGAACTCATAACTGAAGTACAAAGCCCTATTTAAGAAGCACTTCTAAGAAGATTTTCAGTGAACAAGCCAAAGACAAATACGACTACAAAAAAATAGACACATGCCTGATTGCTCTAAAGGTCGTCCAGCTGGTATATCTTCCATGTCTATACTGTAGTGAATGTTGTCTGACTCAGGCAAGCTCTTTGGAGTAGGGATCATGCCACCCTCTCTGCTTGCAAAGTGCCTACACTGTCATTGCTCCAATATTTACAAGTAATTATAAATGGTGAGAACTAGTCCATGGTAATGGAATGGGAAATGAACCTTAGCATGAGCTAATGTTTTTAGACATTGCAGTACTGATTAGGCTATGCAATGTTGAATTAGAAGCAGAACATAATTCAACAATTTTGTATGTGAAAACTACATAAAAACACAAATAAAATAACTTTGGCATAGGCTCCTGAGGCCAAATTCTCCATTGCTGTGTAAACCGTGTGCAGTCATTTTCATTAGTGTAAAGTGGCTATCAAGTGCTGCTGCTGATTGCTTCTTACACCCACTTTGCACTTGTTTATATCAGTATACCATAGGGTGCCATTTTGGTGCCAGCTGTTTTCCTGTCATTGATGAACAAAGTCTACTAGTGCAACACGATGTCAATGACGTAACAATGACTAGGACAAATGAAGAACACGACCAGAATTTGAGGGATGGCTCAAAACATTTGGATGCTTAAGGAATAACATTTGAGAAGTCCAAGGATTTTGCTTAATAAAAGTCTTCACTGACGATATTAAATTTGTTGTGAATGCTGAAACAAAGAATCCACCCAACATCTCGGCAGTGGAAGCTGTGGTGAGAACTTGTCCAGTAAAACACAAATATGAAAGAGCTACAGTCATTTCTTGTACTGTAATTTACTCCAGGGAAAAGAACTATTCCTAGCATGTTCACACTGGTAAATCTCCTGAAGAAGCTATTATCAAAGAATGTTACCTAGGAGGTAAATTCAACATGCCCAAAAGTTTTCAGAAGAATTAATTAATAGCCAGAGATTTCTTGATGTCCTGTGACCCAGCTAAATTAGTAACTCTTGCTGTTGATGTGGCTCCTTTTGAGCTGGGCGCAGCTATCATTTGTGTCAATGAGGTCTGGGAGCCCACCAGTGCTAACCCATTAAAATCTTTAACATCAGCTGACCAAAATTACAGCTAGAGCCTCTCATTTGAACATGCACAATTTTCAGAGGGTGAAGTCGTTTCAGAAATACTTATAAAGCAGAAGATGGACACTCGCGCGGACCACACCCCTCTCTCTGAGTTTCGGACAGAATAAAAAAAGATTCCAGTTACAGCACCATCAAGACCCAGCCATGGGCTGTCCAAGTTGAAGCTACACGAGCAATAAGGCACACTTTTTTTTTTTTTTTTTTTTTATCAGCGAGGGAAAATAACCATTGGAACACCTTACCAAGAAATGTGGTGGATTCTGCACTGCTAGGGTTATTAAAGCCAGGCTGGATGCCTTTCTGGAAGGTGTGCTCTAGTTCAACCACACCGGGTGAAGTTCTACTACAGCCTTTGTTCTGCGAGAGGGCAGCTGAGATGTGCATAATAGTCCCTGCTGACCTTAAAAACTTTTCAAACTATCTGCAAATTGCAGCCCTATTAGTGCGATATTAAATATCCCTCATCAACACAAAATACTCATGCTGGCGTTTGCCCTTAGAGGAATGCATTGAAAGGTAAGTGGCCTAGTTTTCTGAAGTGCTGAGCACCCACAGCTCTAGATGAAGCTATCTCAAACCAGGCCCCCTTTTAAGTAGGTGCCTAACTGTGAATTTACCTGCCCAGCTATAGGCACAACCAGGTTTGAAACATGTGGGCATTGTTCCTGAAGGGACGTTGAGCCAGATCTTCAGCTGGTGTAAACGGGTGTCGCTCCAGTTAAGTCCGTGGCACTATGCTGATTTACACCATCTGAGAATCTGGCCTATTGTTCCATAAAGGCGTCATCTAGTTTGATCAGATCTTCAGGTAAAGAGGCCAAGGGGATGTGTAGTGCTTTACTCCTCTTATTTGAAATGACAATGACACACTTTATTTAAAGAGCCTTATGCATGTGTGTTGAAAAGGGCCATATCCTGAGTGTTTTACTCTGTCATTACTCAGGCAAAATTATCCAGGCCACCAAAACTCTCATCTAGGCCCTCATCATCTCGTGCCTGGACTATTGTTCCCGCCTCCTCAGTAGCCTTGACGCCTGCATCTTTGCTCCCTCAAGATCAATCTTTTTCCACCATGGCTGCACTAGAAAAATGCAGCATATTAGAAAACGTTAACTCACGTATTTTAAATAATACGATGGTCAACACACCTTAGCACCTAGTGTAGACAGGGATCAGCCATGTTTAAAAATGTTAACCATGATTAATTAACTATGGCACATTTTTAACATAACTGACTTTGTCCACAGTAAGGGCAAAACTGTACTGAACACCATGTTCGTTAAAACGTGTGTGTGAACATATTTTCCAATATGATGCGTTTCCCTGGCGTAGACAAGGCCTCGCTGGATCATCACTGTGACCACATCAGCCCCCTCTCTGAGTCCCTCCACTGGCTCCCCCTTCACCACTGTATGAAACAAAAGGGCTTTAAGGCCCTTCACAACATAGCCTGACCTACCTCATACCTCTAGTAACTTAGCACAATGTTGACTTTCATCTGCAACTACCTAGGCGTGACCACCAACCGGTTAGCTTCTCCCTCAAACACCTTTGTGCTTTCTTTTACTATTATCATTTATTATTTGTATTATCGTAGCGCCTAGGAGCCCTTGTCATAGAATCATAGAAATGTAGTCCTGGAAGGGACCTTGTGATGGGGTGTATTAAGCCCAGAGGCCCCCTGCTGGAGGCCTCCCAGTCCTACAACACCTGGTCCCAGAAAGGGCAGTAGAGGACAGTCCTGCCCCAAAAAACTTACAAGCAAAGTATAAGACAAGAAACGACAGCTGGGTACAGACAGGCAGATGGGGGAGCACAAGGAAATGATGAGACAATATTGGTCAGCGTGACAAGCAGCGGTACCTGTGCACCAGCAGCCTAACTGTTGCCAAGTTTAAACTCCTTCCCCCTCCCCACTCAAAAAAATATATAAACCCACTACCCTGTCCTCCTTCACATCCAAGATACCCTTGCTGCGAAATCTGTAAAGCCCTTTCAGATGACCCTGGCTGGGCATGACTATCCCTCTTTCTTTCCCTGCTCTCTTACTCTACCTCCTCTTGCCTCCCCTCTTTCTCCCTAATTAATCACAGATGAAACTAACAAATCTGTGCCAATCATCTCCATGTTCACTGATGGTTCTGTTATATCCCTGGGCCCAACTCTTTATCTCAGGGGTGGACAAACTTTTTGGCCTGAGGGCCACATCTAGGAATACAAATTGTATGGCGGGTGATGAATGCTCAGAAAATTAGGATTGGGGTGAGGGCTCTGGTTGGGGGTGTGGGCTCTGGAGTGGTGCCAGAAATTAAGAGTTCAAGGTGTGAGAGGGGGATCAGGGCTGGGGTAGGGGGATGGGGTGCAGGAAGGGATGCAGGCTCTGGCTAGGGGGTGTGGGCTCTGGGGTGGGGCTGAGGGGTTTGGGGTGCAGGAGGGTGCTCCGGGCTGGGATCGAGGAGTTCGGAGGGCAGGAGGGGGATCAGAGCTGGGACAGGGGAGAGGCTCAGGGGTGCAGGCTCCAGGCAGCGCTTACCTCAAGCAGCTTCTGGAAGCAGCAGCATGTCCCTTCTCCAGCTCCTACCTGGAGGCGCAGCCAAGCAGCTCTTCACGCTGCCCTGTCTGCAGGCACCACCCCTGCAGCTCCCATTGGTGCGCCGGAGCGGGGCCATGCCGCAGCTGCCAGGAGCCGGGTGGAGCAGCCCCCGACCCTGCTCCCCAGCTGGAGCACCAGAGCGGGGCAAGCCCCAGACCCCACTCCCTAACAGGAGCTTGAGGGCCAGCTTAAAATGGCTGGCAGGCTGGATCTGTCCCGCGGGCTGTAGTTTGCCCACCCATGCTTTATGTGTTTTTGTGTTTGTTAGATTGTGGGGTAGAGATTGTCCTTTCATTTGCATTTGTACACCACCTTGACTGGAACCTTTGGGTACCACCAAAATAGAAATGATTAATAATAATTAATGTCTGTGGTGGGATGACCTGGAGACCCTAAGGCTGCAGGTTTGGCAGAATTCTCTAACATGGCCCTGACATCAATCTATACTTTGTATGAAAAAAATAAAGCATACTGAACTTGGAGAGCTGATACCGTGCAGCAGCATCCCCCACTCCCGGAAACCCCCAAGAACTCCAGACAGTAATAATACAATGCTGACCTAGTTAGCATTATGCTACCCACCCTGAGAGAAGAAGTGGTTTGTTCAGGGATAGTAGCTGGGGTGGGGTGGAGCCCATGAGAGGATGACTCATTTGAGAACTTTGTTGCCTCGGTGACTTAGGAAGGCCAGGAAGCTTTGTGGCTGCACAAAGCCTCTGGGGGTCTCCTGAAAAATCTGCACAGATCTCAGGAGATTCTCGGATTTAGGGGGCTGATTTACATATTCTGAGGTGGAAACTGTGGGGGAAGAATGGAGCTTACTGTCTCCTATGTGGGTGTTTTCTGCGTAAGGGATTATCTCACCCAAAGTATTTAGGCACAAGTGCATAATTACCTAAGGATCCGGACCTTACATCCTAGACCAAGTTAATTATCCATGTCTTCATTTTACATTGTTTTCAACACAGGTTGGTATGTGTGTATGTGTTCATGTAGGTCGGGGGAGGTGTACTGGAGATAGAGTTCTTGTTTAGGTTTGTAGGCGTGTATTTGTCAGGAGTGACATAACTTCTGTGTATGAGTTCCCCATCTGTAGACTGGGGATAATAATACTTAATTTCCTACCTTGCAAGGATATTGTGAGGACAAATTAATAAACATTTGCACGGGGGTTTGAAGAAGAAACGCACTACGTTAGGGCTGTCATTATTTAATATCAGAGAGACAAGGTAACTATTTAATATTGTTGAGGGGGAGGTTGTATTTGTTTCGATTTTAGGGTTTGACGTGCAGTATGGGGGTGGCTGTGTTTCTGCAGTTGTGTGTGTGTGTATAGCATGGCGGGCAGGGAGAGGGGTTGAGTTTGTAGTGGGAGAGGAGAGAAGGTGAACATTGAATTTTTAACCTTTCCATCTTCTGACTTTCAAATATTCCTAGCTGAAGAGAAAGGAAAGAGAGTGAAAACGAGAAAAGAATCCTAGGGTAATGGAATGAAAAGAATATAGGATAAGGATTACTAGTTTTAAAAGAACAAACATAAAAACTACAATGGAAAAGGACAAAGGGGGGGAGGGGGAGAAGAAAAGAAACAAAACTTGAGACTCCAGCTGGTAGGGATAGAAGCAGCCAAAGCCGGAGCCTCTAGACATTCAGGGAACTTTCTACAGTTTTGACTGGACTTTCTCTTCTTTGTGCTTAGCTATTTGCTCCAACCCTCCCACTCCAACACAGTCTCTTCACCTCAGTGTCACTCCTCTTATCTTCTCTCCTCAGAGCCCCTCTCCCTCCTTGCCCCTAGCAGGCCAATCTGGGGGGGCACTTCACTCAGCATGCCCTCCCTAGGCGTCC